AAAAACCTACATACTTCAGGGAAGCTAGAAGGCCATGTGTCCAGGGCATACATGTGCATGCTTAGGAAAGATCTGTGAAGGCTCTAAGCTCTCGCCTCTGGTTGACCTTCGTTCTGTGCAAGTAGGAAGTGAAAGTGAAGGTTGTAAACTGCCCGCTGAGTATTGAAGGCATGTCCCAACATTCATAGAGAGCCCAGCTGCAAAGACTGGGAGATTTTTGTTTTCCTCCTAGCGGTTAAGGAACAGAGACTTCACTGACCACACATGACAAAGAATACAGTCTTTATAAATACTGGGGTGTCAGAAAAGTCATGAAGTATTTTTTCTGTGTTTTTCACTGCAAAAATGTGTCATGACTTTTTTGACAGCCCATACCAGGGGTGCCAAAAAAATGTAGTATACAAGTGGACACTTCGGTCAACGTTGCTCAAATGTAGTTCGCCATAATCAGAAGTGTCTGGTAACCACTTTGAGCACCTCTTGTAATTGTAGAAGTCAAACGCAACTTGTATTTAGCTTTTATTATCGGTGTATATTATTACAATTTTAATATAGTTTTCCTTTCTTAAAGTGTGTATACATTTTTTTGGCACCCTCTGTATGATCTAGGAAAGTCACTAAACAAACAATTACAATCCACAAGGGGCAGTGACAACAAACCCTGGGGTGGGAATCTGATTCCCAGAGTAACACATTATAATATTCAAACTGTTCCGGTTTTCATAAAAAAATTACAAGGTATGTAAACAAAGTATTGCCCGTTCAGAGGGCCATCCATGTCATACAAATGGAATCAAACAATATGTGGCCTTTTGTGTCTGGCTTCTTTCACTAAGCACAGCATTTTCAAGCTTCATCCACACTGTGCCATGTACTATTACTTCATTCCTTTTTATGGCTGGATAACGTTCCATTGTCTGGTTATACCACATTTTCTTCATCCATGCAACTGTCGATGGGCATTTGGGTTGTTTCCATTTTGGACTATTATGAATGATTCTGTCCACACCTAGACATTTAATCAATGCTTGATGACTCCCTGATAGCAAATCTAGTAGATCCTGGAATAGCTGGAGTTTGGGCCTACATTCCAAGGCTGTTGGTTTCTACTGTTTCTCAACTTTTCACGTTGAGATGTAATGAAACAGCTGCACCCTCAACACCTGTGTTTCACATTATGCATCTACCTGTGTGTCTGTAGAGAGCTCAAATGAAAAGTTGAATACAGGGCCGGCCAAGTGGCTCAGTTGGTTAAGAGCTCGCTTGGGAGCACCAGCTCTGAGCAGCAGGGCCGCNTGACAACTAAGAGTGGGGGTTTCTTTTGGGGTAAAAACATTCTGGGAAAGAGTGGTGATGGATGCACAACCCCGTGAACATATGAAAAACCACAGAATGGCACACTTTAAAATGATGAATTAGATAGTATGTGACTACCAAAGCTGTTAAAATAAAGAAGGAAGAAGAAGTCAGTATGGTGTGACAGGAAGGATGCTGGACCTTAGCACATCGCCAGGACCTCGTGGGCACAGGGTGGGAAGGAACCAGATTAATGCATCAGGTGTGCAGCAGGGGCTGCGTCGGACTTGTGACTCACAACCAGGAGGCCCAGCATTTCCTACAGGAATACTCAAGAGAGAAGGGGCTCTACCTTTATGTCCTCTGAAGAATTCAGGGGGCAAATCCAAAAGGAAGCGAAAGGCAAAAAGTAAACAGGCAGAAAAAGCTTAGTGAAATAACATGACACAAAACATTTGTGACAACTCTGCAAAGTCATTATTCTGGTTTGTTTTTGGTTGGGGGGAGTGGGCGGTAATGGCAGGAACAACATGTCTGAACCTCCATGTCCCCCTCTGTAAAACTGCATCTGAGGATTCACTGAGATTAAATCAAATGCCTGTACAACAAGGAAATGCAGAAACGAGTAATGAATGAGGCTCTTGCCTCATGTATGGTCATGTCCTATGAGAGAGGGCCCCGGTACCTGGATTCTGTTGAATATCGTCATCTTGGACTTTGAGTCCCGTAGTGGGTCTGCTGGAGGCCCAGCCGATGAGAAGGAGGCCATGGCTACCTGGCTGGGAGAAGCTGCACAGCACATATCCGTTTTCACCTTCTCCTTCCGGAAGCCTGAGAAGCGCTGGGCCCTGGGGTGGCTGGAAAAGAGCCTGCAGCCTCCGCCCCGGGAGCAGACTGGGCCCTTTTCACCTTTCGTGAGCCCTGAAGCCGTGCCATTCTCAGCCTGGGCCTGCTTCCTGGATACCTGGGCTCTGGACCGCTCATCCCCACCTAACTGGGTCTGCTGTGGGCCCCCGGGGGAGAAGATGTCCCCCAGGTCCAAGGTCCCTTTCGTGGATCTCAACTGCTTGGCCAGTGAGATGTCTGGATTCCCAGAAGGGTCCAGAGATGACGCTGTGAGGGACGGAGGAGTGGTGGCCACTTTTGGTTTTCCTTTCACATCCCATCTTGTGCTGCCAGGAGAGGCCTCTCTGGGGAACGCAGACGTGGTTTTTCTCCTGCAGGCCGGGGATCCCTCTGGCTCCGGGTTTCCAGGGCCAGCATAGACAGAGTCTACACTGGGTGTCAGTGGCGGTGGCTGCTGTGGCCCATGCAGTGGCTTTAGGGTAGCCTGCTTGCCCTCGGGCGCAGGGAGCTGGGAGGAAGCTGCTGCAACCTGGGCATGGGAGAAGATCCGGTGGGATTTGGTGAACATCTGGAATACCTGCATCTGCTCATGGCTCACCAGAGACTCCTGAGACTTTAGGAACAGCTGCCGGAAGAGCGGCGTGGCATCCGATGGGAGCCCTCCTGGCTTCTGGACGTCCTGCAGCCCAGGCTCCCCGGGGCTCTGCCATGGGAAGGCGTCGCAGTCAAACTTGCTCTTCTTGGAAGCCCAGGAGTCATCTTCCCCACTGGCACGTTTAGGGTCACCTGAGGCCTCCCCAGGCGCCTTCAGGAGCGGGGGAGGAAAGGGTAGCACATCCTCCAGACTGGAGCCTGAGCTGAGCGAGGGCTCCCCTGTGGGGGAGATGCTGCTGGGCCCGGGGCCAGACTGGGGGCCTTCCCTGGATGGCACTGCAGAGGGCTTGTGGACCACAAACACATTGTTCCCTTTGTTCTTGGAGCAGCCTGGCAGGTTCCGAAGCCACTGGAAGTTGTGGCTGGATGGCTGAGAACTGGCAGGGACTGCCTGGCCCTTGAACAGAGGCAGGCGGGCAGGCAGGGAGCCGCCCTCAGGCCAGCCCTCCAGGGTGGACGGCTCCGACTCAGCTGGGTCAGGGCCACCGTTCTCTGCTGCCTTTGAGTGGACGGCTGTGAACACGTCGGTGACCGGCTCCTTCTGTGGGGCACGAGGCTCCTCGGGCACCTCAGTGCTCTGGGTTCCTGGGGCTGCAGGGGTGCTCACGGGGGTGCAGGAGGAGGACCCCGATGAGGGTGGGCAGGGACAGGCCGCGTTCCTCCCTTCGCTGCTGTCCGAAGGCCCCGCCAGGGCTGGGCCAGGAGAAGCGATCTTCTGGTGGACGATGCTGCTCACGATACAGCGCAGGAGGTCTCGGTTAGGCAAGAGGGAGCCAGGGGACCTGGCTTCCGGGGGCACCAGGGACCGCAAGCCCCCCTGCGGACCGGCCACCTCACGGGCGTGGGGGGAGTCCCCACAGGCCTCCTCTTCCGCAGGGGCTTCCTTCAGGATGCACAGACCATGCTGGACCTCGTAGTGCCGGCGCAGGGAGCGGTAGTCGCAGTAGCTCTTGCTGCAGCCTGGCTCGATGCACACGAAGGGCTTGGTCTTCTGATGGGTGAGCATGTGCCCGGTCCTGGAGTCACACAGGAGAGGGAAGTTAGCGGCACTCGGCTCGGGCCTTCCACTGGAAGGACGCCAAGTGGGTCCCGCAATTCAGAAACCGCCCTTGGCCCCCACTATGGTCAAAGCAATCTGGAAAGCTCCTCTCCCTCACCTTTAAGCAAATGCTTTATCTGAGGGGAAAAAAAAAATCAAAAGAAGCCAGGCCACACAGTTCCCCAAACTGGGTTCCCTAGGAACACCAGTCCTCCAGAGTTGCTCCCCAAGGACTTGGGCTCAGCTGGCAAATAAGTTTTGAAAAAACTGTGTTCCTAGGAGGTTCATAGGGCACAGGAGCAAGTGTAAAATGCCACAGAATAGACAGATAAATAGAGAGGCGTCTGTTCAACTTTCCATGTCTCACAAACTTATGTGCCCACAGGACCGTGTTTCAAACAGCCTCCTTTAGCAGCTCTGAGAGACAGTTCTGCAGGACGCACTGGGGGAAATGCTGACCAGGGACAACCCTTCCTGCAGC